GGAAAAGAGGAAACACAAGGCTGGTGTTTGCTGCTGCCTGCCCTGGACCTACAGGAGCTCCCAAATGCCTCAGAGTTACAACACTGGGGAAACCTTCGCGAGCAGCTGGGAGCTGGATTCGGACTGAAAGGACAAACAAGATATGCAGCTCCCTACCTAAGAGAAGGATAGGAAAAACACCTGGCAAAGTGGCTAAAGGTATCAGAAACCAGCATCAAAATGTGAAATAAAATGCTGTGTAAGTGCTGTGTGAATGCTCATCTGCCAAAGCTGCAGATGAGCACAAAGCAGGAATGTGGAATGAACAGAAATGCACTCTCCTTCCCTGGTGCTGCACCTTTGGAGCCAGGGATCCAGAGGTGCCCTTTCTCCATGAATATATGCAGGATATACTTAGATTGCAAGAACTAGTTTACCTGAATATATTAGTCCATCTGCAAATAAATACCTGCAGGCATCCTTCTCTGGGGCCAAATACCTCAGTCTTCATATGACTGGCTTCATTCCCCCACAATTGGTTTGGATGGCAGTAAGTCTTAGCTACCCGACAATCCATTTACTAGATCCTTGTTAAAATGAAAATCTAGCAAAAAATTGAACTCAACTCTCTGCTAGGCCCAATTCAGGAGGTGCAAGAATGACCAAGCCATCCCTGATTATATCAGCAGCACTTTGTAACAGAAGTAGCAGCACCCCCTGACCCCAAAAAGAATAGAAATACAGCTCAACAGTTTGGAGGTTTTTTTGCAAGCTCAACATTCAAGATTTGGACACCTAAGAACTAACTGCAAACTCTCCCCTGCTTTCAGCTAAGTCCTAGAATACTTAGAAAGTGCAAATTACTTACCAGTGACAGTAGCAGAAACAGGCCTGGGATATTTTTTTCCCCAATCTGCATCTCAGAAGCACTTGAGTTTATCCATCACTGGAGTCTCCACCCTTGGCCAAGAGAAAAACCTCAACACATGTTCAGCATCAGGGAAAGGCTCCAAAGTGCTGTACGGACAAAGTGGTACCACTTGTGGCACAAACTACATACTGTAAAATAAACAGGAGAAAAGCAGAGTAATTTGGTTACTTGGGAGAATTACAAGAACACTCCACTAAGGTATTTTTCTCCAGATATTAGAAGTTAAAAAAAAAGAGAGACTAACAGCTGGTATTCCTTCGTCACCCAATCCAGGGTGCCACAGCTATCTCTAAGAGCACATACTAAACTACAAACACTACTAGTTATCTGCTGATCAATGATATCAGTAAGAGCTCATCACTGGGGGCTGAGATATTCTCTAAGGGATTTTCCCCTCATTTCTCTGCAGGTGCAGGAAGCATCAATATTATCATTATTTCAAAAATCCATTGGACATAACTTGAAGTGCAAAACCAGTGTCTGACACATATTAGACATTTTTCCTATTAGCTTAATCTTTCAGCATTCTTAATTTAAGGATTGTTTTACCACAGAAACCAAGACAGTCCTTGTGGATCACAGGATCTCAGAAACAGCCCCAAGGGCTGAATTCTCAATAAAAAACTAGCTGTCCATCAGCTAACAGGACATGAGACTTAACTCTGTAGCTCTTAAACCTGTCCTGATGCAAGCATTTATTTCTCATAGTACATTATGCCCAAAAGGAGGGGCCAAAGCTCAACAGCTTAAAATAAAGCAGGCTGTAAAAAACAGGCTTGGAATAAGACAACTGCATTCACTCCCTGCTTCTGCCTGGCAAAGTTTCTGATAGACTGGTGTGGAGGAAGTGCCTACCCCTTCAGGGATCACACCAGACTGTTAATGTGCCTTCAGATTCACAGGCTGACTGTGCCCTGTTGCAGGCATGAGCAGCTGCAGTTGGTCTCTGACCTCTTCTGGGCACAAATTCCTGTAATCACCCCAGGAAATTTGAGAAATCAGGGGATTTTCTACTTGTTACACTCTGATGTTGCAGTTACTTCCTGAGGACAAGGCTGACATTAGGTTGCTCCTTATCACTGTCAATCATTGTCAAGATTTCAACATTTGACATGTAATGTGAAGTGAAAATGTGTCAATTAAGGAGCTATGGAAGCTTTCTTACCTGAACCCATGTTTGGCTTTTTTAACAAATTACAATAAAAAATGTAACAGGAAAAACTATGCTTGAGGTTACTCTTCTCCCATGTTATCTGCTGCTATTAAAAGCCATTAATTTTAACAGCAGTAGAGAAACAGGGGATAGCTAGGGATCAGTCATGCATAAATTTACCACTGACATTAGAGCACTGCTGCTGCACCATCAAACACAGCCAGTTCTACTTAGCCCTCAGTATTTTTTCCTCTACTAGCCTAATCACTTTCTACTTTTCTGTGGCAACTGCAGACAGCCATTCTGATTCACTCACAAATAAAAACATCTGCACTTCCATCACTTCAAATCTCTCGTGGTTCTTCTAACTCCATTTCAAAATATATTGCAAAGGGCCATTTCAATTTTCATTGAAATTTATTTGGGGGAGTATTAGTTTAATTTTTGAAAGAAATAAAAGGCTTATCTCCTCAATTCTTAAGAGTATCAAGTGCCCAAACAACTGGTATCGCAGTCAAATTGGAAAGTAATCCATTTTCAGCAAACAAGTGTTTCATCAGGACTTGGACATAATCTGTTCTAACTAACCAACAGCAAGACATTTGAACCCTTGTGAGAACAGAGAATTAAAATAGGTGGGATCAGATGCACAGCTTTTCTCCAGACTGTACAGGAAAAACTGACTTCCATTACAGCAGGTACGTACATATAGCAAACCTGAGGCATTCAGAAATCAGCAGCACGAGTAGGAGTGCTGCAGCCACAGCCTTGCTCTCCTGCTGAATGCCTTCTAATTCTTATCTAAGCTCTCTCTAATGGGTGCACCACTGCAGTATCTATTACCCCACACGAGCACTGCTTGGCTAAAAGGGACATTCTTCCTACCTCCCATTACAACTGATTACTTGGCCATCATATCCATTCCCAGCAGTCCTCCCACATTATGTTGAAAATAGTTCCAGTTCCTATTTGCCAGGACTGCAGACAGCAGATTAAATCTTTCTGCCCTAATCGTTTGCATATTGATCATTGGCACATACCAAGAATCAAGTGGGAAGAGATGGCTGTAATACAGGTAGACCCTACTCATGGATCAGAGATTCTACCCATTTTCTACATCATCTAAGTATATAAATTAACAGATTTGAATATAAATTGAATGCTGCTAAATCATACTGGGGTCCAAACTAATGTCAGTATTGTATTACTGTCTCCTTCGTGCTCTAAACAATATAGCCTTAACATTCTGACTTCTGAGACTTTTATCACTTAATTGGATCAAAGCTTTGACTGCTGAGAGAAGCCAAGAAAAAGCACTAAGCCAAATTTGCTGAGAAGGAAACGCTGGTATTTAGGCAGAAACAAGCATTAAATTTCAATGCTTCAAAATAATGTGTCTGGCTGTCCAATTTAGCACATCCCTATTCCAATTCCTAATACATTATTCTCAGGCCACTGCAATCACTGACCTGTTAGCAGCATCAGTGCTGCAAGGCCATTATTAGAGCTGTCAGTTAACACTCCTCCATCTTGCATTCCAGACTTTGGAGGTTAGGATTTTTTATTTATTGGGGTTCTCTCCCTAGGACAGCCTTGTGCATCCTGCTAGCTTCAGACTCAGGGGAAGAGCAGTCACACAGCATTGCCTTCAACACAATCAAGAGCAAAGGAAGAAAGCCCATCAAGCCAGTTAATTTTACACCAAGGCAGCACTCTCAAAGAAGCACCACAAATACTGTGCTTTAAAAGAGGGAGCAGTTGAGTAGCAAGAAGCAAACTCCAGTTTCTTTCCTGTAAAGGAAAAGGTTTTGAGTTTTATAAAGCTTATTCACTTCAACTATGCTTAAGGAAAGAAAGGCTTGCAGAACATTCCTCGTTGAGTATTAGAGTAAATAATGGATAAACTCCTGTACAGCAAGGCAGTAGCCATTTTCAGTCCATCCCACTGTAATTTCATCTCACTGCAGATCAGTTCCAGGAACTCTGAGACCAGAAGGATTCCTTCAGACCACACACATCAGTCACATAAAAGCATTGCCATTTTTACTACTGTTTAGTGTGGAATAACCATGGTGTAGTGTACACATTGTTTTAATAATGTTAAGCATTAAAACCAAGACTTAACTGGCATGATGAAAAGCTCAGAATACTGCACCAGGCTGACTTAGCTGAATTTACCCTGAAACATCATCTGTTCAGTGCAGTCTGAAAGTCAGAGCTAAGCACAACGATTTCACTTGATATCTATCAACCGCATGACTAAGCAGCCATTTCCTGGAGACCCTGCATTTCCTCAGAAAAGCTGCAATTCAAAAGGAAATCAGCACAGCTTTGCCCATTGGAACACTGAAGCCAGCACAACACTGAGTCCAACCAGCTCTTTATTACATGAAATACTATTCCCAGGTATTAAAGAAAAAGCAATCAAGTCCACCAGTCAGCTGCATCTTATTTTTCAGTACTCAGAATATCCAATTCAGTTCTTCACCTTTCATACCAAGTTTCTTCCTGTTCTTAGATATATTTTAAGATGAACATTTAATTCACAGCACCATTTTTAAATTATATACACAGAAAGAAGCACAAGTCATAAAAGGTTAGGCTGCAAAAGATTTTGACATCCATTTTACTATTGCTGAATATTACAAGACAGATGTTTATTTTAAACATTAAAGTGCCAGGTTTATGTACAAACTATTAAAATAGTAAAAATGGTAAACTTAAAACCTGCTAAAAAAGCAGTGAGGTCATCATGCAGTTGCCTCCAGAGCTTTCTAGACTATTCAACAAATTTACAACTGGAATCTTTTAACTGCTCCTCTGTTTATGGTGAGAACAGCAGAAGCCAGGGGTGAGTGCCCACAACCTCCCACCTCGCAGAAAGAAGCACCACTATCTCTCATGGAGTGGAACAGCATGTGCTGTAAGATACACCTGAGCATCCTATGCATTAATACCATTGGTAAAATCTAATTAAAAGGGGTTTTACTGCTGGAGCTACACCAGCCTTCTAAAGTATAGCAGTATCACCACACTTTCCGAGAGTGGGATTTCAGCACAGCACCCAAGTCACACTGACTCAGCTCACTGAGTGTTTCCCTGTAAGCAGGGCAGGAGGCACATTAATGCACGTGGGTCCAGGTCACTTAAAACTCCGCATCCAGGGTGAAAGAGTTGTCTGTGGGCTTCGACATGACTCCCATCCTCTGGTATTCACCTACTCGCTTCTCAAAGAAATTTGTCTTGCCTTCCAGAGAGATGTTTTCCATGAAGTCAAAAGGATTCTCTGCTTTGTATATCTGAAATACACAGGCAATTCTGTAGTCACCACAGGTGCTCACATTTTGAGTATGCAAGAGCTTTAGAGATCAGTTGGGAGGACACTAATGGCAGCTACTATGCAGTGAGCAAAAAATCTCTGCCCCAAGCCCTACTCTATTTGTTCCTGTCTTCTTTTAGCTGCAGTAAACAGAAGCACAGTACAGCTTTTTTCATAGTATGCTTTTTCTCTTTGTTCTGTGAGTCTCCAAACAGAATGCAGCAGCAGAACTGCTAAATCATTTTACAAGTTAAAACAACACTGCTGCAGCCAATTTAGGATTTGGATTTCTGGAGGAAGTCAGCATTGTCTTTTCCCCATGAAACATTCAGTGTGTTAGAACCTTACCTTGTTAAATCCCAGCTCCAACATAAGCCGGTCTGCCACAAACTCGATGTACTGTTTCATTAAAGTGCAGTTCATGCCAATCAGCTTCACAGGCAGCGCCTCTGTCAAGAATTCCTGCAGATAACAAGCACTTTATGTACAGAAACTGGCATTCACTCTATCATCTAGGTTAGTTTTATGCCCAACAGCTTCCCAGCTTTGTTTGATTGCAATGAAGCTCCTAACAAGAGGCAGGCAGTTACCTGTTCTATGAGGACAGCATTCATGATGATTTCCTTTACTCTCTCCTCTGATGGTTTGTGTATCAAGTGCTTGAACATCAGGCAGGCAAAATCACAGTGCAAACCCTGGGAAGAAGTTCCAGAAAATTATTTCAGGGACACTGATTTTAGAGAGCACAGAGTAAGTGGCATCACCTTTGCCACGTTACTCTCCTACAGACAACTTTCTGCCTCAACAGAAGGCACCACAAGCAAGTTCTGCCAGCGTGAGGCACAGCAGCTGCGAGCATTGGTGAGAACCCTCCAACCACTTTAGAGGAAGTAAAATGCTAAGTTCATTCATATGCTTCTGCAAGATCCACAATGACACATGTTTACACACTTTAGTGAGCTTTACAGTCTGCCTGTTTCTAAATATACTCCTGTTTCACAATATAGGCTCCAACTGAGTGTCATTACTTCAAACTCCTGTGGCACATTACCATCTTAACTGCTAGAATTTGACTCATACCTCATCTCTACTGATGAGTTCATTAGAAAAAGTGAGTCCAGGCATTAATCCTCTTTTCTTCAGCCAAAAAATTGATGCAAAAGAGCCAGAAAAGAAGATTCCTTCCACAGCTGCAAAGGCTACTACGCGTTCTCCTGTTGAGAGAAGATTGATAGTAATACCACACAGAAAACTGAACAGGATTGATACACAGAAGTGGCAAACTGCATCCTGCAAAGCAAATGAAGTTGTTTCTGCCTAAGTGTACTATGGGCTGTGCTTACAAATTATTGAAGATTCCTGATCACTAAACAAAAAAAAAAAAAAAACATGAGAGGAAGTAGGTACTAATCAGAGTAGCTAGTAAGTAGCTGAAGCCAAGGCTCCTTCCCCCGGATCAACCCTCAATATTATTCTTTCTCAGATGGCTCACTAAAAGGAGCAGTCATTTTGGCAGCTGATTTAAGTCAGTGTCTACTCATCTTGGGCCAGCAAAAATGTTCCAATACTAGTGAAATAATGATTTGTACCATCTCACCTTTGAAACAAGACATGAGGAATCACCAGGGAAGAGGAGCTAGTCTGCAACAAGACATGTCTGCTGGCTATAGATGGCCATGGCATGTCCTGACATGTGGCAGCAATTTACAGTTTGATTATATAGTCAGGCACATGATGATTGCCACATGACCTTATTATTCATGATGTCAGCAATTTTACAAAGATCTCCTGTCAGTAGCTCATTTGAAGATGAAAATTATTTTCCTCACATTCAGAATTATACCAGTGTCTAATACTAGAGACCACGTACTCTCTCTGGGACAGCAATAATCCCAGTTAACTGTGAAGTCTGGAGAAATGGTGGTACCTCTATCTTTAGGAGAGGAATTTCACTTTGTTTCATACTCACCATATGTTGCTTTCTTGTCCCCAATCCAGCACATGGCCCAATCTGCCTTCTTTTTAACACATGGCAACGTTTCAATAGCATTGAAAAGAAATTCCCTGAGAAAGATAAAACTCATTAGGCTAAGACATCAGCACAAGCAGCAAAATAAGGATTCACTGCCATAAACAGTATTGATCACTGAAACATGTTCTGCACCTTCATCCCAGTAAATTGTCCTTCCCCCTCTAACCTGGCACCAATGTAGCTCCCTTTGTTCCAATCAGATACTTTTTCCTTCACGTACTGATCACATCAACACCAGTTCTCTGAATTCCCATCACAATATCAAGGGGAGAACTGTTTCACCAAGTGCTCTTGAACAAGGCAGTCCAAACTAGAGATTAACCAGGATACACTTTACAGTGTGAAGGCATGAGACCTCTCATGTAGAAATGACACAGCAAGCTTTTTAAGTAGCAGTAAAACTCAAGTAAAAATTAATATACTCCCCTTTGACTGCTCCACCCTTTAGATTGTGTAATTTCTTTATTTCAGTTCTGAGTGATTCCAGTTTCACTCTTAATGTAAGCAAGGTCTAACACCTCAGATGAAAAAAGATATTGTGAAGTAAAACTGCTGTTAAACAGCAGTGGCTTTTTATATAAGCCTAATTTACATCCTAAAATTAGCCTGAAAGTCAGAGAACAATTGACATGCATTAGCCAAATTCTGAATATTTACTGAGCTCTGAACTTTTCATCATCAAGCAATACAAACCTCTCCTTGGAATCCTTAATGTAGGTGTCAATAAGAAGACTGTACATTTCTGAATGTATATTTTCCATGGCAATCTGGAAGCCATAGAAACAACGAGCTTCTGTGATTTGTACTTCTTGACTGAACCGCTCCACCTAGAGGAAATAAATAAGCATTTGCAAAAGTGTTTGTGATTTGCAGGTTAGATACATTAATGCTGAATGGACCAGTTATAGGTCAGCCCACAAAATCTTCTGATCAATTCCAGATATGTGGATTACTAACAGCAATATAGAAAGCAGCAAGCCCTCAGAATTTCAAGTCATAAGGTATTCTCTGGTCCCATGGGAAAATGTTTTAATTTTACTTATCCCCCATTAGGAAGAAGAGCACAGAGGGTAGAAGCAGAACAAAGGCTGTGAAACAGCCAAGTGCTACTGTAGGGCAGCACTCAGTGCCCAGAGGGGAGTGGGCAAACTTGCAGATTACAAAACCAACCAAATTTGTTAATTAACACAGGACAGCCCTATGTGTTCTTCATGCTGTAGCACTCCATGATCCAGCAAACCAGCTGGATCAGCCACAGCAAGCATCCTGAACATGTTTGTTATCTGGTTATCTACCCAAAATGATATTTCTGTCGGGACTTGGCACACACTCACCAAGTTCTCGTTGACAATGCCATCACTGGCAGCAAAGAAGGCGAGGACATGAGAAATGAAGTACTTCTCCTCAGGCTTCAGGGACTCCCAGTGCTGGAGGTCTTTGGAAAGGTCCACCTAAACCATTACAGGATAATTAAGGAATTGCCCTCCGGTGCAAGGCCCGTCCCCAGCAGGGCTGCGGGCAGGAGGGCCCGTGGCCGCCCAGCCCTCACCTCCTCCGCCGTCCAGAAGGAGGCCTCGGCCTTCTTGTACATCTGCCAGATGTCGTGGTACTGGATGGGGAAGATGACGAAGCGGCGGGGGTTCTCCCGCAGCAGCGGCTCCTCCTCCTCCACGCCCCGCGGCACCTGGAATGGCGGGAGAGCGGCTCGGGGCGGGGCCGGGCATGAAGGGAGACTGAGGGCGGCAGCTCGGGGGAGACCCCGGGGACACGGGCTGGGAGGACGGAAAGACCCCTCCGAGGGAGAGGGGCTGGGCAGGGGGTGGGGGAGATCCCCCGAAGGAGAAGGGGCCGGGAGGGTGCAGAGACTCCCCTGAGGCAGAGGGGCTGGGCCGGGGTGCAATGCCCGGCGGGGAGCAGCGGGCTCGGCCGGGGGCAGAAAGGAGAGACCGCCGATGGGGAGAAGGAGAGCAGCGGGGGCTGCAGGAGCCTCCGGGAAACAGGACAAGGGCGGGCGCGGTGCCCGGGCTCCTGCACTCACCGGATTGCCGTCACCCTCCTGGAAGATCTTGCGGGCCGTCTTGCTGGCCAGCACACGGGCGCTGCTGAGCGTGGGGGGCTGCGGGGAAAAGAGGCAGGGTGAGCGCGGTGGGCGCTGCCAGGCAGGGGCTGGGAGGGCGGGCGGGCGGGCGGGCGCTCACCGTGTTCTCCTTGTTGCTCAGCGCCAAGCCTTTCATGGGCGACAGACTCTTCATAGGAGACTGGCCCTTCTTGGGCGACACCTGGGGCTGCTCGTGGCGGGCGGCGAGCGGGGCACGGGCGGACAGCATGGCTGGAAGTGCAGCGGCGACGGGAGCGGCTGCGGCGGGACGGGCGGCAGGAAATGGGACCGCGCCGCGCCGCCCCTTTATATGCCCTTCGAAGTTGGCGCCAGAACGGCCAGCTGGCCACTCACAGCCCTCGCCACGCCCTCCGCGGCCCGCCCCCGCGCTCCCATTGGCTGTGCAGCGGGTGGGGCCCCGCCTCCCATTGTGGCAGCGGCGGCGGGAGGAAGAGTCCGCGCTTTGCTTTGGCGCCAAGGGCGCGCGGGCAAGGCGGGAGAGCGCGCGCGGCCCCGCCCCCGCAGCCCCCGCGGTTCCCGCGGTTCCCTCAGGCCCCGCTCCGCTCCCGCAACTCCCGCGGTTCCCGCAGCCCCCGCTCCGCTCCCGCAACGCCCGCAGCCCCCGCGGAGCGCTCCGAGTGCGGGAGCTGCGCCTCACCCTGCTCGAGAAACATTCGGCTGCCCTGGAAGAGTCCCCAGCTCGTGTCTGGGTACGGGAACTTAACCTGGGTTTGGGGCACAGGTCTGGAAATGGCACTTTGCCTTGCTTTCCCCTTTTCTTCTCTGGTCCCTCCTACCTACCCATTCATTTTTACTTTCAACACTGATGTCTGAATTTGGATAGAAATTCCACATTCCTGCATTTGAAGGCAGAAATTGCCTTCCTTGAGAAACTGGATCCGTGTGCCACCCGGTTTCACGTGTTTTAAATAAATAGCACAAGAAAAGGAGAACACAGGTATGAAGAGGTGAATATTTATAATTTCTAAATTCAGCATTTAGTTTTTATTAATTAAATTGCAAGATCGTTTCCCTCATCCAATTCCACAAGGGATCTGCTTCTGTCAGCTAAAATGTTTTCCCTGAAGCAGTTTTAATGAAACCAGGAGCTCCATGAGACTTGGAGGTCCTTAAGTCCCCAGGATGCAGAATGGCCTGGACTGTGCCTGTCACCTGAGCATGGCCCAGCACTGCACTGTGCTTGACTGGAGAAGAGGCAGGTAGAGCAGGAGCGCAGCAGAACTATATAATGGTACTGTGTTAAATTTACTGCTGTGGATTGGGAAGAAAAACAAAAGTACTCCCCTCCAGCACCACCTCTGACACTGTAAATCCAAATCATTTTAGCAGGTCAGTGTCAAAGTCACAAATACATCTCCATCCCATGAGAGTGAGCACCACAAAACCCCTAGTAGGGGCCAGAATCCTAGTCAGCAACCTGGACAACCACAAACACACCCCTGCTCCATTCCAGGAAGATAGTCCTAGAGGCAGGAGTACCAGGCATCTCACAAAAGGCTTACAAGTGTCCATGTAACACCCTATTATCTCCTGCCACCTCTATACCTGCTGGGAGAGTCGGCAGAGAGCTAGAGCAGCACCCTCCCCATCCCACCCAAACTCATTTACCCTCCCACCCCAATAAAGAACCTCCAAGCCACCACAAGCCCTGGCCAAGGGCTGTCACAATGCAGCAGCTGTGCTATCTCTGCAGTCCAGCTCCTGTTCTCAGAAGCCCATGGCAGGGCATTAAAGCCTTGGCCTGAGGACGATGGCTCTGCAAGGAGAAAAAAGCACCAGGGACAGCACAGAGAGGGTCTGTGAGGAAGCATGTTGCAACCCTGTGCTGCTGGAGCTGCCACAAAATGGTATTTAAAAATGAGTGCCCATGGTGGATTTTTCTATCACAGCAGTTTAACCCAACTGCATTTGTTCCTCCCTTCACATACATCCTTGTCCATGATGCAGCTGCATTTTGGGACCAGCATTTTCACAGCAGCTCTTTGGCAGAGCTGGGTTGAAGGCAGTAGGCTGCTGCCCTGCTCTGAAGTGCCCAGCATCAGGGATTACAGGGATAATGATGAAGGATGTCAGCTAGCTCCTGGCCTCTCTTTGGGTGTGTGAAAGAATGCTCTGCCTTTATGGCTTCTGGCCACTAGTTCTGAGTACTGTGTGCTTAAAAAAAACAGCCCCAGACTTGTACTAATTTCTCGCCTTCTTTGTTGGCAGGAATTCAGACACTCAGGTGGAAGTAAGAGCAGCCTGGGGTGTCTGGGTGAGGCGGCTGTGGGGTGTTGTGTAAGCACCCTGTTTGCATGAGGTGCCCCCGGGCCCCACGCTGGGTTCCCGCACCCAGCTCCAGCCGGGCCCTGCCGTTCTCCTCAGCTGCTCGTGGAGCTCAGCCTCTGTCCCAGCACTGCTCTTGGGGACCTCAGTGCCAGCACGGCAAAGCCCAGTCCCACCAGGCACACCTGCACCCCCAGGTCCCGTGTCCCCAGCACGTCTGCCTCCCAGGCTGGCTGCTGCCGTGGCTCTGAGCTCACAGACCCGCTGGCAACGCTCAGGGCAGGGCTCTCCTTGCTCACAGGATTGCTTCTCTTCCATTTCAGCACAGACTGCCTACAGAACAGACAGACAGTGACTCCAGGTTGCTGACTGCCTCCCACCACTGCAGCAACTGGTCTGGTGAAAGTCAGTGAGGAGAACTGACTCATCACTAGCTGAGGACTCAGCGTCTGCTGATGGTTTTCTCCTGATTTGTTTGCGTGGTCTCATCCATGCCAAATCCTGAAATCCTCACCCACTGCTCAGTCTGGTAGGGTTGATATTTGTACAGAGCACCAAGCTCAATGGCCCCTGCTATGGTCTGCGTTCCACATGCAACACAAAGAAATCTAAGTATAAATACATGCTGAGACAGGGTAGGTGAGCAGGAGAGGCCACCAGCCAACATCTCCGAGATGGTCAGCAGTGGTCTCAATGGCCCCCACTTTCTCCAGCAGGTTTGGAGGTAGGCCCCAGCATTTTCTCACCCAGCTGTGCTGAGAAAAATGCTCCACATCCCTCCAGAACCCATATGAATCTAAGGACTCAGACCAAAACTTCAAAAATTTGAATGAAGAATTTCTCCCAATAGCTGTCTACCTGCTGAGAGGTGGTCGCCCTGAATTTACTCCAGGATTTATAACTGCAAAAACTGAACTGCAGGGCCTAGGCACTTCAGCAGGCTGTTTCACTGAGAAATCCAGAGCAGAACGAAACAAGTCTTCATTAGCATGATTCTGGCTGGATATCACATTTGCCAATGCAGCCCATTCATTTGCATCACCATCATTAGCCACCTGCTTACCTGACAGTCAGCCTCTTAGAGATAATGAGCTGCTGGAAAGCAAAGCCCTCACAGGGTTAACATCCCCAAAGCCTTGAATTTTTTTTAACTGCAGTTCTTGCCTATTCAAGGCCCTTACTCAACATTTACTACTCTCAGGACAAAGTCTGCAGGTAGTATATGGCCACACATGGCTTTTTAATGGCATAATTGGACGTGTTTCTTTGCTGTTCATGCAGCTCAGCACGGTGCTGCAGATACAGTCCCACAAGTGCCAAGCACTGAAAGGCTTTCAAGAGCTGGAAACAAGAAGCTTTCCAAGCAGCAGCACTTGCTGGCCACCATCAGTCAGTAATGTGCAAGAGCAGCACTGATTCTGGAGCCTTCCTGAGGACCTGTGAGCACGCTGTGGAGCTGGAGTAGCAGGGCCCACATGGCATTCATTCCCGTGCTCAGGAAGGTTGTCACTTTTCCTGGCTGGGAGCACCACCTCCTTGTTTCCCGCAGCAGCAGAAGGCAGTGGCTGCAGCCTGCGGCCCACCCGTGACTTGCCTCAGGCAGTCAGTGTTTTGGTCTCTGTTTTGGTCTCAGTTCCTGCACTCTGCTCGTGGAGGCTGCGGCTGACTCTTGCTGCACATGCACAGCTACAAGTCTCCCTCTAGCAGCCAGTCACTTACCACAGAGCAGTGAACTTTCCTGAGGGCTACATTCCTCAGCATTTACTCATCCAAAACTGCCTGTTGGAGGGTGCAGCCCCAGGTCCTCAATTTCTGGGCAGGCCCGTGTTGGTTGTGTTGAGCAGGGCCGTGGCACAGCAGCACTTCTAGGACATCTCCTCATTGCTGCCGTACACACACTGTGGTCTGAGCCACCCTTTCCCTCTTGCTCCAGAAGACAACCTTGCCATCGTAGTAAGGCAGCCAGAAGCCCCCTGCACTCCCAAATGGTTCCAAAGAAAACCAGCCTCAAACCATGGAAGTCAATTAACAGAGGACACAAAGGTGGGACTGAAATGATTTTTCTTAACTGGGTCAGCAGGGGGCAGCTTGGTTACCACCCAAACCTTACTCATCTGCAGAGAACTCCTGCGTTCCACATCCCTGCTCTATCTTCTTCCAATTAACTTTTCTTCTCCAGCAGAGACTTTTTTTTTTCCCCCGGAAAATGCAGATTATCTTCAACAAAGAGGATACCTTTGTATCCTCTACTACCAGACTTCCTGATGTATATTGGCATTCCTATCCTAAGAAACCACCTAGTCAAGATTGTCATGAAAAGACTGAGAAAGGATTCTGCCTCTCACCTTTGGGACAGTACAACATTTTAGCCCTTTTCTGCTCCAGATGGCAATGACATTTGCACTCATCCAGCAGGGCAGAGACTTATCATTGAACTTTTTTCTGGTGGCATCTGCCAGACAGTTCCCTGCAGAGCATGACAATGTTCAGTATTTGTCAGGATTCAGTTACAGTTTTGCCAAAGAAGGGACTGGGAAAAGCCAGCTCCTTCCATGCCCCATCCTGTTCTGCCATGGCAATTTCATTGTGGGGTCTATCAGTGACCCCAGGGTGACAGGAAGAGGTGCAAGGGACTGTTTACCTGCACAAACAGGCAGCAGTAGAAAAGATCCCAAATACATCCAAGCAAGTGAAAGATGAGCTAGGAACACTCCAATATATGAAGGCAGTAATTGACCTTGGGAATTGTAACCAGGGGGAAAAAAGATAAAATGGAAATTAGAAAACTAGAGAGAGGCAGTTGCCCACAGCACTTAGGGGACCATGAAAACACAGAAAAGTGGGTTTATGTTGCACTTGCATTGAAAGGGATAACCAGAAGTAGATAAATTGATGCAGGTCTGATATTAAATAAGACAGAATCCTGTATGGGAATGTAAT